GTGTCGTTCTCACCCGTCTACTGGTTTGCCCCAGAGCCTTTCCCATAGCCATCGAGCTTTCAGATGGCAATGAGGGTGGCGATCCGGTCGCTGGGCAGCGTCACCGCGGCCATGTACGAGGTGAAGGAGACGGTGCCCACTGGGTCGGGTTGTGGATCAGCACCTGCAGGCCGGCGGAGGAGGGAGGCGTGAGGGTGTGCTCCCGTTCGTCGGGTGCCACGGGGCGCGGGGCGCTGCGCTCACCAGGACGGCGTGCGACCTCATGGTGCGACGCCTTGGGCTGGAGGCGCACCGTCACGGACAGCCCGCTGGTGTAGCCGCACGCCGACAGCCGCTGCACCTGGTTGTACGACACGCCGAGGGGAGGTTGGTCATCGAGTGGTTTGGTTTCTTACCACTACCAAATGTGATGTCCTAACCCGAGAAGAGGGCGAGTTGAAAGGGCACTGGGGAGCTACCAGTGCGGTGGCACCAAGGCCTCGGAACTACCCCCCGCCCCCCTCCCGAAGGACGAGCGTGTTTGTGGCCACAACTCTGCGGCCGCAACGCGCGCCCCGAAAATCAGCTTATACCGGACCGACTATAGCTATCGTGACCGTAAGAAGGCCAGCCACAACGCGCCACAACGATGCCACGACCTCTCTTATAACCCCATGGACTCCCGAGGGGTGTCCCACTTGCCACACGACCGGTTGGTTTTGGTTGCCTACCCCACAGAGGTCCTGCCACAAGTCGCCACAACTGCCCCATCGCGAAAATACCGACATGTCTCTGTGTGGGTAGTCTGCGGCTGTACTCGAGAGCCTACGATCGCGTCCCTCGGGTTGCTTACCGCACAGGGGTCCAGCCACAACTCGCCACAAATGCTCCAACGCCAAAATACCGACCTGTCTCTATGCGGGTGGTCTGTGGGTGTGCTCTAGAACCTACGATTAGCGATTGGACCGTTGTGGCAAGTTGTGGCTGGACCCCTGCATCTGCATCGGTGGGCAACCCCAGGGACGCGGTCGTAGGGTCTAGAGTACAGCCACAGACCACCCGCATAGAGACAGGTCGGTATTTTGGCGTTGGAGCATTTGTGGCGAGTTGTGGCTGGACCCCTGTGCGGTAAGCAACCCGAGGGACGCGATCGTAGGCTCTAGAGCACAGCCGCAGACCACCCACACAGAGACACGTCGGTATTTTCGCGATGGGGCAGTTGTGGCGAGTTGTGGCTGGACCCCTGTGCTGTAGGCCACCCGGGGGATGCGATCTTGTGGTCATGGGGACAACCCTCGGGCCTCCATGGGTTGTAAGAGAGCCGCCGGGTTTGTAGCCACAATTTTGTGGCCACAAGTGGGGACGTGTCGAAGCATCAGGACAAGGGTGCGGTCACGGTGCATACACCAGGTAGACTCGCGGATTCGCTTAGGCGGCGGAAAGCAAAGCGCCAGACGGAACGTCGAAAGAATTCCGGTAAAGCTGAAATGCAGGAGAATGCGAGGAACAAGAAAACGGAAGTCACCATGCTAAAGTATAGCGATTTCCGTTTTCTTCTTCCCCGCATTCTTCTGCATTTCAGCTTTACCGGAATGCTTACCCCAAGCTGTGCCCAGTGTGGGTCTGGGGCTTCGACGGGGCGTTCTCCAAGCACCAAACCTTTCAAACGATTGCACCGATTGCAACGACCACGGGTGCAGTCGGGGCAGTTTGGTCTGTACAGTTACAATTCCGTCGCCACTATTTCTCATACTAATACTAGCTCCAGTCTAGGACTGTCTTTGGTCGAGTTTTTACTTTACTGCCGCGTGCGCGGCTGCTCTAGCGATTTGCCGCGTCTTTATTGGATACTTTCTTTGCTTGATCCAAGTCATAATACAAATATTGTTTGCATTTGAGAATAAAATTATTTTCTTGACTGACACATCGGAGCAGCAGCTTAGGGCCGTTTTTGGTTCTATGGGCTCGGCTTTTCGCTCGAAGCTCGCTAACGCTCGCGTCTCGCAAAAAGCCTCGCGGTAAAAGCTCGTTCAAGTTTCCGTTCTTGGTCCAGCTTACAGATACAGCTGCATATTCATTTTGAACTGCT